TTTTTTTTTTTTGGGGGGGGGGGGTTTTGAGGAGTCTCAAATGGCAAAAAAACCCCCCAGATTTTTCCTGGAAATTCCGTAATTTTCCAAAGGAATTCCTTAAATCCCACCCAAAATTCCCTCAGAGAGCCCCAAATTCCCTCAGAGAGCCCCAAAATCCACTCGGAGACCCCAAAATCCCCTCAGAGCCCCCAAATCACCTCAGAGAGCCTCAAATCCCCTCAGAGAGCCCCAAATCCCCTCAGAGAGCCCCAAATCCCCTCAGAGAGCCCCAAAATCCACTCAGAGAGCCCCAAAATCCCCTCAGAGAGCCCCAAAATCCCCTCAGAGAGCCCCAAAATCCACTCGGAGACCCCAAAATGCACTCAGAGCCCCAAAATCCACTCGGAGACCCCAAAATCCCCTCAGAGCCCCCAAATCACCTCAGAGAGCCTCAAATCCCCTCAGAGAGCCCCAAAGTCTCCTCAGAAACCCCACAATCGCCTCGGAGAGCCCCAAATCCCCTCAGAAACCCCAAAATCCCCTCAGAGAGCCCCAAAATCCCCTCGGAGAGCCCCAAAATCCCCTCAGAGCCGCCCCCCACCTCCACTCACGATTCCCGCGCCGCTTCCGCCTCCCTCATTTTCCCTCAAATCCCCCCAAAAACTGCGCGGGGACCCCCCGAGATCCCGCTAAAGCTCCCAAAGATCCCAGGAAACCCCGAAATTCCAAAGAAAAACCCCAAATTCCCCAAATTTCCCCTCAGGAAGGGTCCGACCGCCCTCACCTCGCTGAGGATCTCCCGCCAATGGCGGACCCGCCCCGGCAGTGCGCTCCGATTGGTTGATTTTGACCCACGTGACGCGACGCTGACGTACTACGCAAACCTAAACCCGCCAAACGGAATCCGCCATATTGAAAAGAGAAGAGCGGCAGCTCATGGGCGCCGCCATCTTGGTGGAACCGTAAGTCTCTCCGCAAGGGCGCCGCCATATTGAGAGTGGCGCGAACCGGAAGTTCCCCATGGGCGCCGCCATATTGAGAAGGGCCTCAACCCACCCTAAATTTGGGATAAAATCCCAGAATATCCCAAATTTCCCAAAACTCCGGGATTTTCTTCCCAAAACAACAAAGCAAGAGACTTTATTTTTTTTTTTAATTAATCGAATTTTTATTGGCAGGAATTTCCCCTCTCCGCCCTCCCCACACCGAATTCCGGGTGGCGTCAACCTGGAAATAAAATTAAATTATTAAAAAAGGGTTAATTCCACCCAAAAATTCCCCAAAAAATTCCCAAATTCGACGTTTGGGGCCCCCTCAGACCCTCCCCGAGTGGGGGAGGGGCACAGGAATCCTTCAGGGGGGGTCAGAGCCCAGTGCTGCCATCACGGGGGGCCCCAAACCCCAAAATTCCCATTTTTTACCCTCGAAAATAAATCCTCTAAAAATCCCTTTTTTCCCCAAAAAAACCCCTTGATTTTTCCCCAAAAAAGCCATTAAAAATCCCTTTTTCTAAAAATCCAAAAAAAATCCCATTTTTCCCCCTAAAAATCCCCTAAAAAAATCCCATTTTTTCCCCCAAAAAAATCCCATTTTTTCCCCAAAAAATCCCCTAAAAATCCCATTTTTCCCCAAAAAAAATCCCGATTTTTCCCCAAAAAATCCCATTTTTCCCCAAAAAAATCCCCTAAAAATCCCATTTTTTCCCCTAAAAATCCCCTAAAAATCCCATTTTTCCCCTAAAAAAATCCTGATTTTTCCCCAAAAAATCCCCTAAAAATCCCATTTTTCCCCAAAATAATCCCATTTTTCCCCCAAAAAATCCCCTAAAAATCCCATTTTTTTTCTAAAAAATGCCCTAAGAATCCCATTTTTCCATTAAAAAAATCCCGTTTTTTCCCCCAAAATTCCCATTTTCCCCCCAATCCTCACCAAAGCCCGGAAATTCCCGTTTTTCCCGCGGAAGGCTCAATCCTCCTCCTCATCCTCGCCGCCTCCCGCCCCTCCCTGGCCCTTCTTGGCGTTCTTGCGCTTGACGCGGCCGGGCCGGCCGCCGCCGTAGGGCGAGCGCAGCGAGAAGTCGATGTGCTTCTGTGAGTCCAGGCGCACGATGAACGACGGGATGTTCACCACCTGCTTCCGCACCCTGAATCCCAAAAAACACGGAGTCTGTATCCCAAAATTGGGAATTTTCATGGGAAAAATGGGGCTTTTTTTAGGGGATTTTTTGGGGATTTTTTGGGGGAATAATTGGGATTTTTTTGGGGATTTTTTTGGGGAATAATGGGATTTTTTAGGAGATTTTTTGGGGGAAAAATGGGATTTTTATGGGATTTTTTGGGGGAATTTTTGGGGGAATAATGGGATTTTTAGGGGGAAAAATGGGATTTTTTGGGGATTTTTTGGGGGAAAAATGGGATTTTTAGGGGATTTTTTGGGAGAAAAATGGGATTTTTAGGGGATTTTTTAGGGGGGAAAAATGGGATTTTTAGGGGATTTTTTGGGGAAAAATGGGATTTTTAGGGGGAAATAATTGGGATTTTTAGAGGATTTTTTGGGGTTAAAATGGGATTTTTAGGGGATTTTTTAGGGGGGAAAAATGGGATTTTTTGGGGGAAAAATAGGATTTTTAGCGGGTATTTTGGGGGAAAAATTGGATTTTTTTGGGGAAAAAATGGGATTTTTAGGGGATTTTTTGGGGAAAAAATGGGATTTTTAGGGAATTTTTTGGGGGAATAATTGGGATTTTTACGGAATTTTTTTGGGAAATACATGGGATTTTTAGGGGATTTTTTAGGAAAAAATGGGGTTTTTTAAAGGGAAAAAATAGAATTTTTTAGGGGAAAAACGGGATTTTTTGAGGATTTTTTAGAAAAAAAATGGGATTTTTAATGGCTTTTTTGGGGAAAAATAGGGGTTTTTCTTGGGGAAAAATGGGATTTTTAAGGGATTTTTTGGGGGAAAAATGGGATTTTTAGGGATTTTTTGGGGGAAAAATGGGATTTTTAGGGAACTTTTTGGGGGAAAAATGCGATTTTTTGGGGGAATAATGGGATTTTTTTAAGGGGAAAAAATAGGATTTTTTAGGGGAAAAAATGGGATTTTTTGGGGGAATAATGGGATTTTTAGGGGATTTTTTGGGGGGGGAATATGGGATTTTTAGGGGGAAAAATGGGATTTTTAGGGGATATTTTGGAGGAATAATTGGGATTTTTGGGGGGGAAAATGGGATTTTTAGGGGATTTTTTGAGGATTTAAGTCAGGAATTTCGGGAAAAACATCCCAGAAACCATCTGAAATATGTGGAAAATCCCAAATTTGGGGAAAAAACACCAAAATTTGGGAAAAAACACCATTGATTTTGGACAAACTTTACCTGAAAATTGCTGCGAAAATCCTTGGAAAAATGATAAAAAAATCCGGAAAAACCCAAAATTTGGGATTTAACCCCGGAATTCTGGGATGAACATCCCAGAAACCATCTGAAATATGTGGAAAACCCCAAAATTTGGGGAAAAACCCCCAAAATTTGGGAAAAAATCCCAAAAATTTTGGACAAACTTTACCTGAAAATTGCTGCGAAAATCCTTGAAAAATGATAAAAAATTCCGGAAAAAACCCAAAATTTGGGATTTAACCCCGGAATTCTGGGATGAACATCCCAAAAACCACCTGAAATATGTGGAAAACCCCAAAATTTGGGGAAAAACACCAAAATGGGAAAAAACACTAAATTTTGGACAGACTTTACCTGGAAATTGCTGCGAAAATCCTTGGGAAAATGACAAAAAATTCCGGAAAAAACCCAAAATTTGGGATTTAACCCCGGAATTTTTTTCTGCACCCCAAAACCATCCCAAAAAAACCCCTGGAATTCCCTGGGAATTTTTACCTGGACCTGAGCCCTGCTTTAGGCCCCCTCTTCGCAAGGTGTACGGCAGAGCCGCAGTGAAGCCTTGCCGAGAGCCGGCGTGGAAATTTTGGGAATTCTCACCCAAAATTTGGGAATTCTCACCCAAAATTTGGGATTTAACCCCGGAATTTTGGGATGAATATCCCAGAAACCATTTGAAATATGTGGGAAACCCCAAAATTGGGGGAAAAAACACCAAAATTTGGGAAAAACACCAAAAACTTGGAACTTAAGAAACCTAATTTTAGCCTGTTATGAAAATCCTTGGGAAAATGATAAAAAATTCTGGAAAAAACCCAAAATTTGGGATTTAACCCCGGAATTCTGGGATGAACATCCCAGAAACCATCTGAAATATGTGGAAAACCCCAAAATTTGGGAAAAAACACCAAAAATTTTGGACAAACTTCACCTGAAAATTGCTGCGAAAATCCTTGGGAAAACCACAAAAAATTCCGGAAAAAAACCAAAATTTGGGATTTCACCCCGGAATTTTTTTCTGCACCCCAAAACCATCCCAAAAAAACCCCTGGAATTCCCTGGGAATTTTTACCTGGACCTGAGCCCTGCTTTAGGCCCCCTCTTCGCAAGGTGTACGGCAGAGCCGCAGTGAAGCCTTGCCGAGAGCCGGCGTGGAAATTTTGGGAATTCTCACCCAAAATTTGGGAATTCTCACCCAAAATTTGGGATTTAACCCCAGAATTTTGGGATGAATATCCCAGAAACCATTTGAAATATGTGGGAAACCCCAAAATTTGGGGAAAAAACACCAAAATTTGGGAAAAAACACCAAAAACTTGGCAATTAAGAAACCTAATTTTAGCCTGTTATGAAAATCCCTGGGAAAATAAAAAATTCCAGAAAAAACCCAAAATTTGGGATTTAACCCCAGAATTTTGGGATGAAGATCCCAGAAACCATCTGAAATATGTGGAAAACCCCAAAATTTGGGAAGAAACACCAAAATTTGGGACAAAATCCCAAAAATTTTGGACAAACTTTACCTGAAAATTGCTGCGAAAATCCTTGGAAAATGATAAAAAATTACGGAAAAAACCCAAAATTTGGGATTTCTCCCTGGAATTTTTTTCTGCACCCCAAAACCATCCCAAAAACCCCAAAAACCCCGGAATTTCCAAGTTTTACCTGGACCTGAGCCCTGCTTTAGGCCCCCTCTTCGCAAGGTGTACGGCAGAGCCGCAGTGAAGCCTTGCCGAGAGCCGGCGTGGAAATTTTGGGAATTCTCACCCAAACCTCTTCGCAAGGTGTACGGCAGAGCCGCAGTGAAGCCTTGCCGAGAGCCGGCGTGGAAATTTTGGGAATTCTCACCCAAAATTTGGGATTTAACCCCGGAATTTTGGGATAAACATCCCAGAAACCATCCCAGAAATGTGGAAAACCCCAAAATTTGGGGATAAAACACCAAAATTTGGGAAAAAACAGCAATAATTTGCGACAAACCTGACCTGGGAATTGTTGCAAAAATGACTGGAAAAATGATAAAAAATTCCGGAAAAAACCCCAAATTTGGGATTTAACCCCGGAATTCCGAGCTGAACCCCAAAACCATCCCAAAAACCCCAAAAACCCCGGAAATTTCCAAGTTTTACCTGGACCTGAGCCCTGCTTTAGGCCCCCTCTTCGCAAGGTGTACGGCAGAGCCGCAGTGAAGCCTTGCCGAGAGCCGGCGTGGAAATTTTGGGAATTCTCACCCAAAATTTGGGAATTCTCACCCAAAATTTGGGATTTAACCCCGGAATTTTGGGATGAACATCCCAGAAACCAGCCCAAAAACATGGAAAACCCAAAAATTTGGGAAGAAACACCAGAATTTGGGACAAAAATCCCAAAAATTTTGGACAAACTTTACCTGAAAATTGTTGTGAAAATCCCTGGAAAAATAATAAAAAATTCCGGAAAAAACCCAAAATTTGGGATTTAACCCCAGAATTTTGGGATGAACATCCCAGAAACCATCTGAAATATGTGGAAAATCCCATATTTGGGGAAAAAACACCAAAATTTGGGACAAACTTGACCTGAAAATTGCTGCGAAAATTTTTGGAAAAATGATAAAAAATTCCGGAAAAAACCCAAAATTTGGGATTTAACCCCGGAATTCCGAGCTGAACCCCAAAACCATCCCAAAACCCTCTAAAAATCCCGGAATTTCCAAGTTTTACCTGGACCTGAGCCCTGCTTTAGGCCCCCTCTTCGCAAGGTGTACGGCAGAGCCGCAGTGAAGCCTTGCCGAGAGCCGGCGTGGAAATTTTGGGAATTTGCGGCGGGATGCTTTAGGCCCCCTCTTCGCAAGGTGTACGGCAGAGCCGCAGTGAAACCTTGCTGAGAGCCGGCGTGGAAATTTTGGGAATTCTCACCCAAAATTTGGGAATTCTCACCCAAAATTTGGGATTTAACCCCGGAATTTTGGGATGAACATCCCAGAAACCAGCCCAAAAACATGGAAAACCCAAAAATTTGGGAAGAAACACCAGAATTTGGGACAAAAATCCCAAAAATTTTGGACAAACTTTACCTGAAAATTGTTGTGAAAATCCCTGGAAAAATAATAAAAAATTCCGGAAAAAACCCAAAATTTGGGATTTAACCCCAGAATTTTGGGATGAAGATCCCAGAAACCATCTGAAATATGTGGAAAACCCCAAAATTTGGGAAAAAACACCAAAATTTGGGACAAAACACCAAAAATTTGGGACAAACTTGACCTGAAAATTGCTGCGAAAATCCTTGAAAAATGATAAAAAATTCCGGAAAAAACCCCAAATTTGGGATTTAACCCCAGAATTCCGAGCTGAACCCTAAAACCATCCCAAAAACCCCGGAAATTTCCAAGTTTTACCTGGACCTGAGCCCTGCTTTAGGCCCCCTCTTCGCAAGGTGTACGGCAGAGCCGCAGTGAAGCCTTGCCGAGAGCCGGCGTGGAAATTTTGGGAATTTGCGGCGGGAATTGCGGGAATTTCGGGAATTCCGGGGCGGGCACCCACCGGATGTGGCGCTGGCGGATCAGCACTCGGGCGTGGTGGATGGATTTGGCCAGCCCCAGTTTGAACACCTGGGTTTGCAGGCGGCGCTCCAGGAAATCCTCGATTTTCAGCCCCAAAATGTAATCCAGCTTCATCTTGCCCTCGTCCAGCACGCCGATGCGCACCAGGCGGCGCAGGAGGGCGTTCCCTGGGGAAAATGGGGGAAATGGGGTTATTCTGGGGGAAAACACCTGGAAAAATGGGGTTATTCATGGGGAAAATGGGATTATTCATGGGGAAAAACAGCTGGGAAAATGGGGTTATTCATGGGGAAAAACAGCTGGAAAAATGGGATTATTCATGGGGAAAAATGGGATTATTCATGGGGAAAAACAGCTGGGAAAATGGGGTTATTCGTGGGGAAAAAAATGGGATTATTCATGGGGAAAATGGGGGAAAAAATGGGATTATTCCAGGGGAAAACAGCTGGAAAAATCGGATTATTCATGGGGAAAAATGGGATTATTCATGGGGAAAACAGCTGGAAAAATGGGGTTATTCATGGGGAAAAACAGCTGGGAAAATGGGGTTATTATAGGGAAAAACAGCTGGGAAAATGGGGTTATTATAGGGAAAAACAGCAGGAAAAACCAAGTTATTCATGGGGAAAAACAACGGGAAAATGGGGTTATTCATGGGGAGAAACAGCTGGGAAAATGGGATTATTATAGGGAAAAACAGCTGGGAAAATGGGGTTATTCATGGGGAAAAATTGGGGAAAAAATGGGATTATTCATGGGGAAAAACAGCTGGGAAAATGGGGGAAAAATGGGATTATTCATAGGGAAAAACAACGGGAAAAATGGGATTATTCATGGGGAAAAACAACGGGAAAAATGGGGTTATTATAGGGGGAAAAATGGGATTATTCATGGGGAAAAACAGCAGGAAAAACCAAGTTATTCATGGGGGAAAACAACGGGAAAATGGGGTTATTCTGGGGGGAAAATGGGGAAAAAATTGGGTTATTCTGGGGGAAAACAGCTGGAAAAATGGGATTATTCATGGGGGAAAATGGGATTATTCATGGGGAAAAACAGCTGAGAAAATGGGATTATTCATGGGGAAAAACAATGGGAAAATGGGGTTATTCTGGGGGAAAATGGGTGGAAATGAGGTTATTCTGGGGGAAAAGAGCTGGAAAAATGGGATTATTCATGGGGAAAACAATGGGAAAACTGGGGGAAAATGGGGTTATTCATGGGGAAAAACAGCTGGAAAAATGGGATTATTCATGGGGAAAAATGGGATTATTCATGGGGAAAACAATGGGAAAAATGGGGGAAAAAATGGGATTATTCATGGGGAAAAACAGCTGGAAAAATAGGATTATTCATGGGGAAAAAAATGGGATTATTCATGGGGAAAAACAGCTGGAAAAATGGGATTATTCATGGGGAAAAATGAGATTATTCATGGGGAAAACAATGGGAAAAATGGGGGAAAAAATGGGATTATTCATGGGGAAAAATGGGATTATTCATGGGGAAAACAACGGGAAAATGGGGTTATTCTGGGGGAAAATGGGGAAAAAAATGGGGTTATTCTGGGGGAAAACAACGGGAAAATGGGATTATTCATGGGGAAAAACAGCTGGGAAAATGGGGTTATTAAAATGAGATTATTCATGGGGAAAATGAGATTATTCATGGGGAAAAATGAGATTATTCATGGGGAAAACAGCTGGGAAAATGGGATTATTCATGGGGAAAAATGGGATTATTCATGGGGAAAAACACCAAGAAAAATGGGGAAAAACATGGGATTATTCATGGGGAAAAACAGCTGGGAAAATGGGGTTATTATAGGGAAAAACATATAGGGAAAAACACCTGGAAAAATGGGGTTATTCCAGGGGAAAAATGGGGGAAAAAATGGGATTATTCTGGGGGAAAAACAATGGGAAATATGGGGTTATTCCCGGGGAAAAACACCTGGAAAAATGGGGTTATTATAGGGAAAAACACCTGGAAAAATGGGGTTATTATAGGGAAAAACAGCTGGAAAAATGGGGTTATTCCAGGGGAAAAATGGAATTATTCATGGGGAAAACAGCTGGGAAAATGGGGAAAAAAATGGGATTATTCCAGGGAAAAATGAGGGAAAAAATGGGGTTATTACAGGGAAAAACGGGGAAAAAATGGGGTTTTTATCCCAGAAAATATGGGGAGGAAATGGGGTTCTATTGTGGGAAAAATGGGGGGAAAAATGAAATTATTCCAGGGAAAAATGGGGGAAAATTGGGGAAAATTGGGTAAAAATTGGGGAAAATTCCGGAATGAAAAGGGAGGGGAAAAAAGGCAAAAAAATACCAGAAAATAAGGAAAAAGGGAAAAAATTCTAAAAAAAAATTTTAAAAAAATCTTAAAAAAATCCTAAAAAAATCCTAAAAAATTTTTAAAAAATCCTAAAAAATTAAAAAAAAATCTTAAAAAATTCAAAAGAAATTCCAAAATATTTTTAAAAAATCCTAAAAATTTTTAAAAGAGTTCTAAAAAATAAATTAAAAAATTCTAAAAAATTTTAAAAAAACTCCTATAACATTCAAATAAAATCCTAAAAAACTCAAAAAAAAAATCCTAAAAAATTCAAAAAAATTTCTGAAGAATTTTTTAAAAATTTTAAAAAATATAAAACGAAAATCCTTAAAAAATAAAATAAAGAAATCCTAAAAAATAAAAAAAAAAAAACTAAAAAATGAGAAAAAAAACCCCTAAAAAATTAAAAAAAACTCGTAAAAAATTCAAAAAACATCCTAAAAAATTCAAAAAAAATCCTAAAAAATCCCCAAAAAATCGGGAAAAATTCCAGGAAAATGAGGAGACGGAAAAGAAGGAATTTGATGGATAAAAAGCGGGATTTAGGGATGGAACTGACCCTCAAAGAGGCGCCTCGGGTCCTTCTCGTCCAGGGTGAGCAGCTCCCTCGCGGCCTTGCGGATCTTGGCCAGGGTAAACTTCACCCTCCACACTTCTCGCTTGTTCCTCAGCCCATACTCCCCTAAAAACCGGGAATTCCGAACATTCCAAACTTTTCTCGGCTTCCAAAAATCTCTTTAACCCCTAAAAATCTTCTTTTTGCCCGTAAAAAACCTGGGGTTTTTTCCCCATAAATCACATTTTCCGCCCCCCACAATCTCAATTTTTCCTCTAAAAACTTCATTTTTTCTGCTCAAAATCCACTTTCTTCACCTCAAAATCCTCATTTTTCCCTCAAAATTCATTTTTTCCCTCCAAAATCCCAATTTCCCCCCTCATAATCATTTTTTTTCCCCTCAATCCCTCATTTCCTTTCTCCCAAATCGCTCTTTTCCCCCCCATGATCCATTTTTCCCCCCCAAAATTCCGGTTTTTCCACCAAATCCTCTCGTTCCCCTTAAAATCCCTTTTTTTTCCCCTCAGAATTCCCAAAAAATTCCGGTTTTCCCCCTCATTTTACCGATCAGTTTTAACTCCTGGTCGAGTCGCGACTTCTCGAAGGGGCGCCTCGGGGTCACGTAGGTCTTGCGACACACCCAGCTCCGCGCCACCGGCATCGCGACTGCAGGAGGAGCATATCGCGATATCCCACCGGGAATTCCCAAAAAAATTCCTAAAATTCCCCCCAAAATTCCCGAAATTCCCTAAATCCGCGCGCCCCCTCAGAGCACGTGGCGCGCTCTGCGCATGCGCGGTCACCCCG